CCTCGTCATATCTCCAAAACATTTGAAGTTTGATGGAATGAGATCTTTGAAGGACACGGTAGCGTTTGGTCCCCCGTCCTTAGCCGCTATGCAATGGAACAGCTCCTTCTTCCCCTGCACCTCTTCAGTGTATTGGCCCGACACCCGGCCTTCCTGCTTTCCGGGCAAGTCCTTTGGGCATTTGTTGTCGTGCAGCGGCAACTCCCCCGCCTCATACTTCTAAAAAAACTCCTTAACCAGTGTCCATACCGGGTCCTTGCATGTGGCGACATTCATGTACCCCCTTATTCTGTTCGTCCAGTCATGCTGCCACTTCCCAGAGATACACTCGGTCCATAATGCTTTCTCACACGACTTCCCCATGCACGACCTCAAAAATTCCCTCCATGTTTTCTGGTGCTCCAAGCCTTTGGGATCCCCTTTGGACACGTTCCCCACAGGCCCGATCCGCTTCTTGCTGTCCCAAAATCCTCTGATGTCCACGCAGGCTTGGTGGAACGATGGCAACATAGCACGGTCAGCCGAACACCTCCACCGCTGCAGAGTTCTTCGCCACCGCTCTTTTCATAGATTCGGAAGAATGTTGATCGGCAACCAGGTAATAGAAAAACTCATCTGCCCGTTCGGGGTCGAAATCCTCTGAAAGGACGCGGGTTCCTTGTTCGTCCGCGTCCTTTGATGGATTAATCGGAGCCAGCACCAACTCCGGTGGATCCCACGGAGCCGGATCATCCACGGACTGTGGGCGAGTTGATGCTTCAATTGCCGCTTCGATGCCTGCAACGATGGCCGGGTTCAGCGCTCGCTGGTTGAAGGTGATCTCTCCCACCGGAATCGGAAGAATCTGCATGACGTCATTGACCACCCTAGGCGGGTCCTTTCTCTTTTTGCCGTCCTCGTTGTACTCGAGGAAGAAGCACTGCGTCATGTTCACCGCTTTGGGTTTCTTCGTCTCCGGTTCGTCGTCGTCAGGGATGGAGAGCAAACGAGGGGCCACCCCTTCAGCATCGTCGCTCGAGTCATCCGATTTCGGGTGCCTCGACGGCCGCAGAGGCTTCCTGGGTTGCGACGTTTTGCGAACCCGAGCTTTGGATTTGGATTCCACACCGGCTTCACCAGGCGTACCAGCAGCTGCATCCAAGGCGAGCCGAGCGTCCTGCACAACTTTTCTTCGAGCCTGCTTCTTAGGCGCGGCTCGCTTCGGCGACGATTCCGCTGTGCGTTTTCCCCTCCCCTTCGAAGTAAGCTCCGTGGAAACATCGACATCCTGTCCTTCGTCTTTCATTTCCTCGTCTTCCATTTCCTCATCTTCCATCTCCTGGTCTTCCATCTCCGAACCACCCACATTACCACCGAGCACCCCGCCGCTTGCCGCTGCCTTTTCGCAATCCATGTGGTCCTGCCCACCACCACATTCTCCTTCATTCTCATCGTCTTCTCCATCGCCCCTCGCCCGGGCTTCGTCGCCTCTACTATCCTCTCGCTCTGCATTCACATCGCAAGAGCCTTCTCCCTGGGTGAACCTTCGCGTGGCTAGTGACTGGGATTGCAATCGGCGAATCCGTTCATCGTCCTCCGTCTTCTCGCTTGACTCCTCGTCCATTCGACGTTGGGAGGTGTCCTGCGAGCGCGAGCTTCTACCGGCACGCGAGCTTCCCGGAAGACTGGAAGGTGGTTTGTCGAGCACCTTCTTCTTCGGAACGTTTCCCGATGACCCACCGCTCGGACGCCTCT